AAAATAAGACAATTTTGTACCTTAACTGACATACACTTTTAATTAATGGCATATCTAAAGATCTCAGGGGTTTATAATTACTCTGTACCTAGAGTTACCATTTTATACATGCATTAAATAAAGGTTCAGTTAGCTTCTCCCCTGCTGAAGGCTTACATTTCTGGGGCGAGGCTCATAACCTGCTATACTCAGGATTGATAACCTAGGCTTACTTTTACCACTCTGTGCCACTCTCGTCGTTAGAGTAGAAATTAAATGGAATCCTCAGCTACAAGTACGCAACATAGAACTATTAGAGATAAAAATCATCTATTATTACTTCAAATGTCGGGGAATAATTTCCAGTTTGCATTGATACAGGATCCCTGTTTCTATGAAAACAATGCCGTTGCCATCAGGTTCCTGTGTGTACTGAAGCCTCACACATAACAGAGATGGTCTAACCCAGCTGGGGACCCTCAGCTCTGGAAGGCCAGACTTGAACAGTGTTCCATAATATTATTATTTTTTAATTCTCATCGGAGGATATTTTTTCCCTTGCTTTTCAGAGAGAGTGGAAGGGGGAGAGAGANCGAACAGTGTTCCATAATATTATTTTTTAATTCTCATCTGAGGATATTTTTTTCCCTTGCTTTTCAGAGAGAGTGGAAGGGGGGGAGAGAGAGAGAAAAACATTGATATGAGAGAGACACATCGATTGGTTGCCTCCTGCACACACCCCAACCAGGGCCGGGGATTGAGCCTGTAACCAAGGTATGTTCCCTTGGCTGGAATCGAACCCAGGACCCTTCATTCCACTGGCCAACACTCTAACCACTGAGCAAAGCCAGCTAGGGCCATAATATTACATTTTTTAAAGCAACGGGATTGTGATTTTTCTAAATTAATTATTATTGGTGACATTGAGAATACAAAATTAAGGCTTCCTATTTCTAGTCCAGTTTTCTAACTGCTCAGACAAAATTGTCTTTCACAGAATGCTATGTTTTTAAATTCCACTCTCTTACTGTTGATAGCTCAATTATATATATAAAATATTCCACTATCCTGAAATTATTGATTTTTGTTTCTAGGGCAGTCCCACTTATATAAGTAACAAGTATTTATACAAGTATACCTTAACTACAGAAATTAAAATCAGAGTGCTCCAGCTCAGAGCCAGGCAGAGGTGAGAGCCAGCAGGGCCTGAGGCGACGACCCTGCTGGGAATCATGACATTCACCTGGAGGTGATCATGCTGGGGCCGCCCCTGCAGTGAGCCTGTAAACACCGGGCTCAGGCTCCTTGGCAATGCTTCCCAGAGAGGCCCCTGGCTCTACTCCCGGGCCACTAGAGACACTGTAGAAGCTTAGAACAGAACTATGTTAATGAGGATTTTTTAATACTCTCTTGAATAATGTTTGGCCTCCACAAAGTTAAGTTCATCCTTAAACCATCAAATGAGAGAAAAAATAATTTCCTTCACAGATTAACTGTATAAATAAGATAAGGTGTTTGGCTCCTTAAGAAAAACACATTATTTTCTAAAATTCTAAACCTGCCAGAAAAACAGGGGCAGGTGGAGTTAGTGATTTAATATATTAGTCACAAACACTCCCACCTACTTCTGTAAAGGTGCAATTCTGTTAGTCAAACACTGGATGGCCCTGTTTCAGTTATTAAATGATCTGAGCATTACAAATTCTGTAATTCATACTTTTCATTAAGTCAGACAAGGCTAACCTAATTAGTCCAAAAAAATGAAGTTTTATAACAGTTAAAAATGGGAGTCCATTTTCCTATGCACACATTATCTGGTCAGAGTTTTGGGTGGTTGTGCAATAAGAAACGATGGAGATGAAGCCCCGGCTGGCTGTCAGCGCAGAGACAAGTCCCGCACACTCGCCTCCATTCAGAGGTGCCTCCAGGGCCACCAATGCAGGAGCATGCTTTTCTCTGTTACTCAGAACTGGTCAGGCTCGGGGGACTGACTCATGTTTATCTGAACCCGCAAGGGGCTGATTTAAAAGCCAGAACACCAATTTATTAATTTACAGTGGGAGATGGGCCTGGCTCCGGGACCAGGGCAGTGTGTTCTAACGTAAGGGACAGCCCTCATGGGGACAGGCCCACCCAGGGGGCCAAATTAAAGATCGGAAAGTCGCTGGGCTGGCAGAGGTTTAAAACAAAGGGAGGCAGATTTCCTCAAGAGAAACTTCCATCAAGCTGTGGAAGCCTCGGCAGGGCACGGGTTTCTAAAGGCCGCCGCCTGATGCGCGGGGTCAGGGCGGCGCTGGGCAAACGCGCCGATGGGCCCCTCGGCCGCGCACAGCCCCCGCTCCTCCGCTCGTGCCTGTTTCAGGCAGGGCACACTTCCTCCGGGTGACCTATAGAAAGTACTGTGGCCGCCGTCTCCTAAGGGACACACACGAGGGAAACTGTCATCATCTGTTGGGTGCTGGGTGTCACCGCCTCGCCCCCGAGCACGGGGCGCCTGACCTGGGCAAGTGCGCACGGCTGCAGAACAGCAGTGAGTTTAACTGGCGGGATGGGGACCTGGCCTGTCCCCGCCCGGACGGGACGCACGCTCGCAGGCAAAGTCCTGCCTGGTCAGGGTCAGGAAGGCTAGAAAACACGTGCGCACAGAGCTGTGGGACAGCCACACAGCAGCGACGCCTCGAGTTAGCAGTTGAATGTGGCTCGTCCACTGGGGGCACCTTCTGTTTTATTATCATTATCACACGCCACATAAAATTTACCGTGTTCACCGTGTTCAGAGGGCCCGGTTCATTGGCCGTAAGTACATTCACAGCATTGTGCAGCCATCACCACCACCCATCTGCAGGACTCTCTTCATCCTTTAAAACTGAAACCACCTGCTGAGCAAGGACTCTCCCCCCCCCCCC